ACCAATATTTGTAAGTCTGAGGTCAAATTTTGATCACAACTCGTACAATTTTGTTTATTATACTTGTTAATATTTGTTTTATGAATCATGATTGGACAAAGTTTTTTAAAAGCTAAAGATGTTCCTTTTATATATAAACCTGTTATGTTAATTTCGATTAATTTCCCTGAAGAAGTTCGGACCAGATTTCCGAACGAAACGTTGGAGTTACTCATTTCAATATCGTTGAGATTTTACAAATATAATTTTTTTTACAGATTGATTTCTCTGTTGGGCTGGTGGACACGCTAAGAATGATTGAACTGACAGAAGCTATATATACTTGATTGGCATGATTGGCTAACTTCAACGATACACAAATCATGAATACGATACTATGCGAGTATAGGAAAAAAAGGGGGAGAATATTTGATTACTGAAATAAAGCTTTTACGGTCTTAAATTTGGTACAATTCTGAACTTATATTTATTCATGGATAATCCCTATCCAGGAGGCATTAATGAAAACAAAACACGTAGAGTTCAGCGACGAGTTACTCTTTTCGGCGGCGAATTCATTTTCTTAGCTGTACGATCGCAAATATGCATGTGTTATTTTGTATGTATGTGTGCATTAAGTTTCAAACAAAAATACTAGTGGTTATGGTCATTTTAACTAGACAGGTGAAGATTGGTGATTGGAGTTACGTAATGCAAAATTAGTCAAGAAAATTAAGTATTAATGAAATTAGGGTAGTAACAAAGGTGATAAGTTATCACAAACAGTTGTTAAAAAAGAAGTTATGTAGTAATATGAATGGCTTGATGAGTGAGTTTTACTGAGGATACACATAGGAACAAAGCAGATAATACGAAATTACGTAAGAGTTCTGAATGACTAGAAGAATTATAAGCAATTAAAGAACAGGCAAAGAAACATAATGAAGTCATCAAAAGTCAACATAGTTGTTACCATGATAATAGAAGTGGTTGAGTAATCCTCTTTTGTATGCACAGCTCCGGTTTTTCTATGTGAATGGCCCAAATCTCATTAACACCTAATTTTCTTGACTGATTTTGCATTACGTAACTCCAATTACCAATCTTCACCTGTCTAGTTAAAATAACCCCATAACCAACTGTCTATTTTTGTTTGACAGACTTAATGTACACATACATACAAAATAACACATATATTTGCGATTGTACAGCTAAGAAAATGAATTCGCCGCCGAAAAAAGACTCTTCGTGTTTTGTTTTCACTTATATATATATATATATATATATATATATGTAGTGCGTTGGTGGCAAAGTAGTTAGGACTCTTGCCGACCATGCACATGATCCAAGGTTCGATCCCCTGCTGACGCACACCTAATATCAATGGTCGGCCTGCAAAATTTGGGCTGAAAATTCCATACTTGTACCAAAAATACAGTGTGGAATCAAGCTGTAATCAAATATATATATATATATTCTTTTCGATAACCCCTGCTTCATCAGGTTCTATAGTTCTACGTAAACATCATAGTGAATGAATGAATTAGTGTTATTCGCAAAATTGATATGGTTTAAATAACATCCAAAATTCCCATTTTATTTCCGTTATATGTGAATGACACCTTTATTCTGTGTGACAATCATTCCGATAAGAATACAATAGTAACACAATTCAGTGAAGTACATTCTGCTATGAAATTCACGTTGGAGCAGCAATTCAAAAATAGAATTATTGCCTTCCTAGATGTCCTTCTTACAAGAAAACTAGGTGATAGTATAAAGTGAAATTTACATAAGAAAAGCACATGGACAGGACAGTATACCCACTTTCATAGCTTCGTTCCTCTCCAGTACAAAAAAAAATTTAGTAAGAAAGGTTTGTCAGCCACACGGTTAGAGCTATATGCTCAGAAGAGGTAATCGAACATGAACTAAGGATTGTACATGACACCTCAATTGAAAATAGCTATCCCAACAAATTTATCAAGAAACACATGACTAAGAAAGTTGAGAAGGACTATTCACTATCCGTAAACAAGAAGTCTTTATAAGTATGAATGCAATTCACTGGTGATATACCTATCGAAATAATTGCGAAGAAGTTAAGAAAATCAGTTCAAAGAACTTTTAATGCTGGTAAAATACAAATCTTATTTTCTACACGATTAGTTGTGATTCCCCAATTGGAAGATGAATTACCTAGACTAGACTGGCCACCTGTAATTGTATCTACCAATTGAACTGTGTTTGTGGAGGAGCTGGTTGTATTTGTCGTTGTCCTAGGAAATTGATTTTTGTGCTCTCTCGGGAGCACTCGTTTTGTTCCTTTACGTTCCCAGCGGAACATAGGGGACTTCAAGTTAGAGGCTTGAAGTTTCAGTAGCAGTGATGTTTACTTCTGTGGGGTGGGGTTGGTATTCTCATATCCAACAGTTCCTCTTTACCAGTCTTATTACTGGATTAGCCGGAGACTGAACCCTTAGCCATATACGTGATTGACGAGCATACCTTTGTTGTGCCACCGGCTCACAGCGCGCTATACGATTGCTTATTAATAAAATTGTGCATTCATACAGATTTTATTTACAAACACATTTTATCGTCTTCCCACTAGTTCTTGTCCACTCTATAAAATTATATTGATTAGTTATTTTCTCACACTTATTACATCATGCTAAATTCTGCCTCCTTTTCTAATTTACAGTTAGTTCCCGCCCCCGGTCTTATAGACTACACCTTACATTGCATAATACCATTTTCGGGGACACATTTTACCAGTATCTGATTGGTAGTCTTATGAATTCTTTATTAAGTATAATTCCGATTAGTGTACAGCAGCTTATGAAAATGAATCGTCAAAAAAGAAAAAAACTTTTTTCTTCGCTGTTTACGTCTTTTTTTTTTCTTATGGCTCAATATAGGAATAATAATAGTGTTAAATAAATCCAGAGAGCCATTGAAATTCCACATTTGTGAAACAGATTTAAAATGTTTTCCTGCATTGATATTGACAGTTGATGATAAACCTTTTTTATACATTTGATTGCGTCGGTGGCACAGCGGTTAGGACGCTCGCCGACCATGCACATAGTCCGGGGTTCGATCCCCGGCCACCGACACACTCCTTTACCCCGCCAAACCAGTAATGAGAGTGGTAAAGAAGAAAGGTTGGGCATGTGGCTAGCAACCCCATCCTATAAAATTAGACACTGCTACAGAAACTTCAAGCCTCTAGCTGGAGGCTCTATGTTCTACTGGGGAACGTGAAGGAAAAAAATAGATGATTCCCTTGATAAATTTCGATAAAGAAAAGAAGACATAATTCGCAGTTTAAAATGATATCATTCTATTTCACAGGTTCTCATCATCTGCACACACCTACCTGAAATTACAATGGTTATATAGATGATAATAACATAATTTAATGTTTAAGTGATAGTAGAGAAGAGATACTATAAAATTGACGCATTCAAAATGTAAGCATTACAATTTATTTAGTTTAAGTTTTCATCATCAATTTATACGCTTTCAAAGTTGAAAAGAGGGGAGAGGGGTAAGAGAGAAAACAGAAAAAATTAACAGAACAGTATGAGCAACTCGAAATACAAAGGCGGTTAGCGTTTATAAGATTCAGATTTGTTCAGTGAGTTGAGATCACTGAATTAGATGACTAATTAATGTAATCAAAATCAAAATTCAGTTACCAAGACAGTGAGAGGTTAATCACACTCTCTTTCTGTATGTTTGAATCGTTTGGCTGCGATTGCCTCGAGAAATCGTAGCTAAATTTGCTGTCCTTTGTCTATTTAATATATTTTGAAGGACTTAGAAGTCTCTACGAGATGTCCGGTATCAACAATATGTCTGGTAATTGCACTCTGAGAATATTTGCTACCACTCAGGCACTGGTTTCTTGGAGTATGTTGAGAAAACTGGATAGAAGTCCTTCTTTCTGTCCTTCTAATGCACGTGCTTCCGAAAGTGCACATAAATTCATAAACGCAGTTGGAGGTGACATCAGCAGGGTATTTATATGCTGAAACAGAATTTGAAATTGAATGATATCATTTTATACGGCAAATTTCATCTTCTTTTCTTTATCGAGATGCGGTTTACTTTGTACGCCGGAAATAACAGTTTTGTAATTTCAGGTAAAGATCTACGTCACCTTTTTTCTGCTTTACTGACGTTTCTTGTTCTCGCCAGATAATTAACATTCGGAAATTACACAGAGGAAGAGATCAGTTTTTCACAAACTTCTCATTCAAGTTATAATTAATAAAGTAAAAAAATAGTTTGATTTATTTTTATTTATTTATTTTTGATTTACAGCTTGATTTCACACTGTATTTTTGGCACAAGTATGGAATTTTCAGCATGGATATCGGTGGCCCAAATAATGCAGGCCGACCATAGATATCAGGTGTGCGCCGGTGCGGGATCGAACCCCAGACCATGTGCATAGTTAGCGAGAGTGCTAACCACTGTGCCACCGACGCCTTATGTAATTGAAGACAATTGGTAGGAATGCCTTCGATAATGGTTTTTTGTACTTATTTGTACTCATCAGCATAGTGTATCTGAGATATCGAGGAAACCGATGCTCCCCCCTCTCACCACCACCACCACCTCAGGGATTAGAAATGCAGTTACTCAGTGTTGAGGTCGAAGTTCTTACCACTGAGCTATAAAACCTCATAAGTGACCCCCTGTATTACTATTATGGTGATATTGATCGTCGCTTGTGTCTTGTTTTTTTCAGTATTGTTCCTGTGCATCGGTGAGTGACACGGCCATGCACATGGCACGGTGTTCGGTCCCCTACCGATACACACACACACACCTGACAATAATGGTTGGTTTGGTAAATCTAGTCTACCCGATATCTCACATGCTCAAAATTCAATAGTTGTACCAAAATACACTGTTTTAAATAAAATAAAAATTATTAAAGTTTTTTATTTTTATTTTTATACCTTCTACGTAGAATGTCTGTTTTTTTATTTTTCCCCATTTTTCAGGTCTCAGAGGTTTAATGTTAGCTGTTATGTTAGCTGCGCTAATCTCAGATTTAACGTCAATTTTCAATTCATCCAGTACACTTTTCACCATGGATATTTATCGACAATTTCGTCAAAAAGCACAAAATATGGAATTAATGATTGTTGGCCGGTAAGTCTGCCAATGTCAATCTGAGTGTGTGTAAATAGCGCATATATATTTATACCTCTCCTACAAATTGAAAAAATGTTCCCATTCAACTTTAGGAAAAGAATTTGCAAACATCAGATCCATATAAATGTATTCTCTTCAATAACAGAATTTTTACAGATTGGATTTACGACTTAGATATCCAGAGGTCCGCATTAATAGCCTCATTTGTTATTGCTAGTAAAGGCTTCATTCTGTGCAGGACAAGATTACCTGCATTATAGATAAGATTTTATTTTGATAAATTACAGTGTTGTACAGTAATGTTAACTCATGCTCACAATCATATCAAGTCACTCATTCGCACAACTTTCTTGCCTCGTTTATATACATGAGTGGAACTGATGATTAGACATTTGACGAATAAAATCAATATAGGATCATGTACATTCAGAAATAAAAATATGAGTGTTATCAATCAAGTACAATCAGATCGGAAATGAGACGAGTATTTTCGTAGTCAAAATAAATAAGTAACTTGTTAGTATGTTGTGATGTCTGAATATCTTTAATTCATCTCATCCATTATCGGTTTGTGAAGGCAGGCTTAGTTAATTGTTTAACAAACCGAGCAATAGCACTAAGTAGCACAAAAAAAGACCTAAATGATGAAATGAAACAGATAGAAGAAGAGGTGTTGGTGTTAAATAACGAACTATCCTATAAAATTCATTAGGAAGATCAGTAAAGGCCAAAAGCAAAACAGAAATAATGGGGAAACTAATAATGACAACACGAATAGGGGAAAATATAAGTCATCTACTGTTACACTATATAAGGAGGGGACATCTGAGACCCTCCCTACGTAGGATTCCGAATTAAGCAGGAATTAGGGTGGCATTCAAACCTACAAATTCACTCAGACAAGGGCAATCTCTGCAGGCTAAAAGACCCGGTGGACTCAATTCGACAAAATAATATAATTTACAAAATACCTTGTAATGACTCTGAGTGAGGTCAACTATATAGGTCAAACTAGTAGATCGGCGATATTCAGATTATCGGAACATAAGAATTTAGCTAAGGAAAGAATGGTTGACCCCGAAAAGATGAGTAATTTAGAAAAAAGCTCGGCAATCTCACTTCACGCATTAACACACAACCACACAATAGGATGAGTGGGAGAGGGTTAAAATTTTAAAAAGTAATCTAGGTAGGTGGAGAGAGAGGTTGATTACTGAATCCTTGCTCATCGAGCCTACACCAAACATATGCAACAGAAATGACTCAATTCAAATACCAGAGATATGGAAGATATTATTACCACCAGTCAGTCAAATCAGAGGAGGATAATAATTATTCTTAAAATTCTATTTCAGTTCAATTCACGTACATCACAACATTCTAACAAGTTACTTATTTATTTTGACTATAAAACACTCATCTTATTTCCCATCTGATTGCACTTGATTGATAACATTCATATCATTATTATTTCTGAATGTACATTATCCCATATTGGTTTGTATTCAAATGTCTAATCATGAATTTCACTCATGTGTATAAATGAAGGAAGAAAGTTGTGTGAGTGAGTGACCTGATATGATTATGAGCTGTAATGATTTCTGCTCGAAACGTGTGGTCATCAGTTAATATTCCTGTATAACACTCTACTGTGTGATTTATCAAAATAAAATATTATTTATAATGGAGCTATACGCTACCACAGTGCCCACGTTTTGTACTTATATCAAGATTATTTGCAGTTGATCAGAGTATCTGTAACAATGTTTAACAAAAGTATGCAAAATCAACAGTAAGATATTATCTTGTTTCTTCATTTTCTTGTCAGCCTCACTCTTTTTTTATTCCTTTGCTGTCCGAGTGGAATATAAGAAGGGCTTCAAGCTTGAGCTTTGAAAATTCGGTATCGGTGATTTCGTTTCTGTGGAGTGAGGTCGCTAGCCAGCTTCACGCTCAACGTTCCCTTTATGCAGGTTTCACCAACAACTAGTAGACTAGGAGAAGTTTCGAAGTACATTAGCCGACAATCAGTCCTGTACCAGTAGTGTCGTTGACGTGGTTCTTAACTTACTTGCAAAGGCCACATGATGTCGGTTAGCAGAAGACTTGAAAAAAGATAAACAAAATATGCTCAAGATTTGCAGTTATACACAGTTGAATATCTTGAAAACGAAGTTCCATAAGAAAGAGAAGAAATGGATAAGTTGATGATAATCAGGTTGCGTAATAGTAGATGTGAGTTCCACTCAGTTACTATTAACACCATGGAAAAAATGCATTTTTATTAAATCTAAAGCCAAAGATTATGTGATCAAATGAAAGGAAGAATTAAGATAATCGAGTTACCAGGAGTGATGAAGACTGCTAACCACTCCTTTCTTTAAACGTTTAATGGCAGTTGCTTCAAAAAAAACCTCAGAAGATTCAATTATTGGTTTGTAGGGAATTGATTGATTGGTTGCCGGATTTCATCATTAGCTGGGGTTCTAGTGGGAAGTCATGACCATTAGTGTAAACAAGGTCGGATGTGAAGACAAATACTCGCTGAAGACATTGGCTAGTGGTCATGCTACACTGTGAATTGGTAGAAGTTGGAATTCATAGGTTGGCTATTGGATCAGGTCCCAGTGGCTAATGAATGGTCTACGAGCCCACCCGCCTTGTAACCAGAAGGTACTGGGTTCCAATCGTGGTAGTGGGTGCGTACTACTGAAGAGTCCAAAACTTGGGGGGACGGAACAGCAGCTCAGTACTCCCAAATGGTTTTCCAATGGTTCGCTAACCAATGTCAGTTGATGATGAAGTTTTGTAAACTTTAGGAGAATAGAACTATATTATCACTTGATTACCTTAAGGAATTTCAAGATACCTACTTCATGATGTGTAATAATCAGATACCTGGCTAAAATAGAACTGTTGAAACTATCTTTTCTTGTGAGACAGATTTCCTGAAAATCTACCGAAAAACTGAAGGTTTTTCTTTATATCCGCCTTATTAATGTTAATTTTACTGCAGATAAATGTACATTTATGCATAACATTTGAAAACTTCATGCAATTCTTCCCATTAGTAAACTTGAAAAAAGCAAGAACGACAATTGTACCAGGATTATAATATGAGCTCATCTTTTATTATTTAATCGAGGATTCTTCTCAACTGGTTACAACCTGAACGGTAAAAAAGTATATGAATTACATTAAAGATCTGAACATACTTTTCCACGATCATAAGGAGTAATTGGTAGGAATTAAAAGTAACATGAGTCCGGAATGATTTAACTGATTAGGAGTTACAAACACTGACTATTTATAGAATGATTAGACAATTAGGCTCGGAAACAAAAAAACAGGGTTGCGTATTCAAGTGTTTTTTTAAGGATTTGATTGGCTGCAGGATTTTATCATGCACTGACATTATTTAGAGAACCATTGGAGAACCTGGAAGTACTAGACAGCTGTTTCGTCCAAGTTTTGGGACTCTTCGGCAGTACGCACCCACCGGGACTCGAACTCAGGACCTTCTGGTTACAAGGAGAGTTGTGTAAATATATGTGTGTATAGAAACAAGGTTTAGCTAGAAAGAGCATAACAAAAAAGTAGATTACGTAAATAAAGAAAATGTTTTATATAACAGCCAATAGAAAAAAAAGAAAAGAACAAGGTAGGGTGAGTCATGTTTGGATGAGAGAGTATAGTTTTCTAAACAAGAAAAATGGTGACTCATAAAAGTTTTAAATTTTTTTTGTTATCACGAAGGCAGTGCAAGATTCACCACTGTCTCTTTCTGAGTTTGAGTTAAAATAGGAAGGGTATATGTCAACCTATTTATTATTGTATATTATTTGGCATATGGGAAACATAAAGGCAGAAAATAGGTGTGTGGAAAGTTTAACGGGTTGATTCACTTACCCATTTATTCCACAGTTCATGTCACTAGTCATTGTCTAGTCTGAAATATGTCAGATAAATACAAGAAGTTGCATTAACTCTAATGCACTGATTGTTGATGAAATCTCAGCTCAGGCACAAAAGACTAGTCTACCCTTTGTCAACTTACATCATCTTTAGCACAAACATGATGTGAACATGTTCATTAAAGATGTATTTGCCCCCCCCTCCGCTGTAGTTTGTTACATCCTTCTTTTCATCTGTGAAATACATCGATCAAACAATGTCAGCTTTGTCGTTGTAGTTGAAAGTGAAAACTGTGAAGAGGCTGGCTGTTTAAAACCAAACAGGTGTTTGTGTTAACTGGTATAATACGATGAGTAATATCAAAGTTGGGCGTAAAGTATTAGGTAAGGAAATGAAGTAAGTCGACGAGGTTGTGGAGTTACATTGGTTGAGATGGCTAGAACAAGTGTTGCGTACGCTAAGCTACTACAACCTTCCTCCACGGGAAATATTAGCTGACGTATGACTGATTCATTTCGAGGAGTTAGGGATAGTCGAACGATCAAGCGATCGACGTCAATCCATGAAGTGTTAGACAGTTGATCTGAGCAACATAAAGTGGTGTAGACTATCTGACTGAGGTCCTTAGAATGCTAAGAAATGATGACTGAAGAATACCGATGATTTGTCTCATTTCGTTCGCAATTACAGATGTCATATCCCAGATACATTAAATCTTCTTTTTCCCATGTTGCAAATTCTTTCTGTAGTACATTTCTACTCATTATATAGTTTCTTTCAATTTCTGTTTTTCTCTATCCTTAAATGAGCTTGTATTGAGTGTGACAACTTGACAGATGACATAGTCCTGCTTCCTAGGCGAAGACGCTGACAAAATAGGACAGAGTCTTCTGAATACCTTGATCTGCAATTCGAGAATGTGTGGAATGAGATTGGCTCCCACCAAATGTGTATGATAATGCTACAGGACTGAACTACACTGACTCATTCCTAGCTTAGAAATAGATAGGAGTGAAGTGGTAGCTTAGCGAGTTGACCATTTCACTTATTTGAGAAGTTGCATCAGCCAACGCCACGAGGTTGACCGCTGACCAAACCTCTGAACGGATACAGAAGTCTAGTTTTGTATATGCCAGTTTACGCTGTCTCTAGCTTAGAAGATGTGATATCCTGCATTCAATCAAAGGGCATGTGTACGTGTGTGTACAGCAGTTCACTCCATCCTCCTTTATGGCTGTGAGCAAGACTTGGTCATCGAGAGTGGAAGACATGAAAAAGCTGGCTAGCTGTCTTTGATCATAAGTGCCTGCGTTCTATCTCCCGAGTCAGGTGGTGGGTGGTGTATTCGGGTGGGCAATATTGAGGTTAGATATCAGGTCGGATGCTAGGTAAGGAGGAGGGGAAATCGATCGACGAGACTGTGAAGTTACATCGACTGAGATGGTTAGGACATGTGTTAGATATACCTAGCTTAGCCGACGCCTTCCTCGACCGATGGACAATGTTAGCTGACACAGGGTCAGGTTGGAAAAGAGCTAGTGGCGGTCAAACCAAAACATGGCCTCACCAGTCAATGAAATCCACAACAGTTAGTTTAAGCCACGTAGGAAGGTGTAAACTACCTGACTGGTTGGGGCCCTCGGGACGGAAAACACCAATGAAGGCTGGAGACAGTTGGCGATATGGCTCAAAATTGTTCTCAACGGCTGGCGCTGTTAGATGCATCCACTCCTTGTGGCTGATAATTTCCAAAGGAACTATATTGTTCTTTCGTTATTACTATTCCTTTTGCCTCATATCCCTGTCTACTGTCTCTATTTTGCATTTCTTCCACTTTCTTCTCTTGGTTTGTATGCTACAAGGCGGAAGTGTGGCGACTTGAACTGCTGCACATTGATGTAAAGTTCTACGTCAAAAAACTCAGTTCTTTTCAAGTTCAGCTATGAGTATTTGGTGTAATCACATCTCTACAAGTGTGTTCTCTATTGTATCATGAACACTTTTCATTTTTCTATTTTAAAATGAATAATGTATTATTGATTATTTTCACCCTTTCAAAAACAGTGTATTTGTCGTTGTATTAGTCGGATTAAGTGTTGCATGGGTCCCTATTATCCAGCAGTTTCAAGGCAGTCAATTGTATATTTATATTCAGTCGACTGCAGCTTATCTTACACCTCCTATAGCTGCTGTTTATTTATGCGCTGTATTATGGAAACGAAGTAATGAAAAAGTGAGTTGTCCCTTGTCAAATACCATTATTATTATTATTATGATTATCATTCAAGGGGTGTATGCTATTTACACTGGCAATATCTTTTTAATCCTAACAGAAGTCTATCATTTGGGGTTCTCTTCCTCTACTTCTTCTCATTCACCTTTTAACTGGAAAAGACAACTTCATGCCAAGTCGATGCGTAGTTTTGATTGGACACTAGTTAGCAACTAGTGTAACAACAGAAGACAAGGGACAGGCAACAGACCGTTTATTTACGAAATCAACATATATTTATAGATTTTAATGTACATTATGATATTCGAGTATTGGTTTATAGGGATTTGATTGCTTGGTTACAGGATTTCATCATGAGCTGACATTGGTTAGAGAATCATTGGAAAACCTGGGAGTACTGGACAGCTGTTTCGTCCTAGTTTGGGACACTTCAGAAGTACGCACCCACACCGCGGGGTTCGAACCCAGGACCTTCCGGTTACAAGGCGAGTGAGCTCGTAGGCCATTCATCAGTCACTGGGACCCGACCCAATGACCAGTCCATGAATTCTGACCTCTGCCAATTCACGATATAGCACAACCGCTAGCCAGTGTCTTCGGCGAGTACTTGTCCTCACACCCGACCTGCTGCACCCTACTGGTCACGACTTCCCACTAGAACCCCAGGTAACTACTTACCCGAATAGGGCAAGTCGCCAGTGAGCATCTCATTGGTATTCAAGTATTGGTTTGTAGGGATTTGATTGATTGGTCACAGGATTTCATCATGAGCTGACATTGGTTAGAGAACATTATTATAGATTATTGTAAGCAGAAAAACACAGCTCCTCTGATTGGTTCTTTCTCACGGAAAGTTAATCTTTCATCTCTTTGTGGCTGTTTCTTGAATGCCGGATCATCTATATGCTAACTGTATCCGCCCACGCAAAGTCTGCCGTGATTGGTTGTTGAGTCGGTCTTTATTCTGACTTTTCTCATGACCAATATTGTGGGCATAAACATTGACGTAAATTACTGTCTACCGATTTTGGCTAACAGCCAGCTCTCACTACACTAGTATAATGTGTCTGATCCTGTGTTCGGCGCAGACTGAATTCTGTCAATCCAATCAAAAGTATCCAATACAGTCAGTTCTACAAGAGGTCAATCGCAAGCCCAAATAGCTCAGTGTTGACTTCTCTGACTCAAGTATTCACTAGGTGACTCGCATTGCAATCTCAGAAGGGACATGATTTCCTCCCTTCAAAGTTGCAGATACGCTGCCTTGCTGACTACTGGTGAGCGTCAACTAGAACGAAACCTAGGTCCTGGCAAGGCTTCCTGTGGCTGATTGCCCCCTAAAAACACGTAAAATAAGTTGATGAATGAAAAGGCATTCAAACACCTGTTACATAAGATGACATGTTGAAGTGTTACTTACTTAGTGAGTTGATTAATCATCGCTTAGATCAAACTGACAGAATTTTCATGTACCATACCAGGTCATGAAGTAGGTAGGGTAGAATGGGGGTGGTGGTGAGATACGGACTCTGGATTCATTCGGGTAGAAGTGTTGAAGGCTTAAACTGATAAAGCTAAATCTCCGCTACTATATAGTGTTCAAATGAAACACTTTCAAGTCTTTAAAGACAGCAGAGTTAGACATTTTACTTATTACTTCCAATATATATACATACATATACAGAATTTTAGTTTAAAAAAGAGACTTTGTATTGATTGATCGATTGACTGTATATGTGTGTGTGCAAATTTAGCCTTTAGCAAGTTCGTACGATAATGTATTTTTGTATTTACTGACAGAAATGGTTCCACTTTAAGTGTAAGAAGTAGCACATAGTTTCTAATTGACCTCTACAAAAAAGTACATTGTCTTATATATAAAAAAAGGCAGACACAAGCGTAGGTGGTGGTAAATGATCAAGCCTGCCAAACTAGAAACATAATAGTTAACTTATATATTCAGGTATGAACTAATACTTCAGCGAAGAGACTTTATTTTTCCAGAGAATTCATTCACGTGACTGTATAGTGGTAATAATCTGAAGTTGTTTGTTTGTCTGTCTGTCTGTCTGTCTATTTGTTTGTGTGTTTCTGTATGTCTATGTATAAGTTAACACTGAGTTGATCTCGAGCAAATCAAACAAAAACAAAACGGTCAGTGACCTTATATTGGATTCTCAATGACTCTGAAATTATCAAGTATTGGTTTTGTAGGGATTTTGTTTGATTGATTTGATGGAGAGTTTCGTCATGAGCTGACATCAGTTAGAGAACCACTGGAAACCACCTGAGAGTAGTGGACAGCCAGCTGTTTCGCCCTAGCAGTACTCACCCACACCGCGGGGTTGGAACTCAGAACCTTCTGATTACAAGGCTGCCGAGCTCGTAGGCCATTCATCAGCCACTGGGACCCAATCCGATGGCTCATGAATTCACGATATAGCGTAACTATTTCGCAATGTCTTCTTCGATGAGTTACTGCCTCATCTTCAACCTGCTGCTGTACCCTACTGGTCACGGCTTCTGGAATAAGTTAGGGTGGCATTTAAACCAACCAAATAACCAACCAACCAACTATCTCAGAGATAAACTTTGTCGACTGAAAGACCCTACAGATCCAATTAAGAGGAAGAATTTACAGGATTTCATCATGAGCTGACATTGGTTAGAGAATCATTGGAAAACCTGGGAGTACTGGACAGCTGTTTCGTCCTAGTTTGGGATTCTTCAGCAGTACGCACCCACAGGGATTGAAACCTAGGACCTTCCGGCTCATGATGAAATCCTGTAATCAATCAAGCAAAATCCCTAGAAACCAACACTTAAATATCGACGAGATGCTCACTGGCAACTTGCCCTATTCAGGTAGGCAGTCACCTGGGGTTTTAGTGAGAATTTGTGACCAGTCGGGTGTGAGGACAAATAGTCGTCGAAGACATTGGCTAGTGGTCACGCTATATCGTGAATTGGCAGAAGTTAGAAATAACATACTGGCTATTGGATCGGGTCTCAGTATACGAGCTAGCCTTGTAACCAGAAGGTCTTGGGTTTGAACCCTGGAGGTATGGGTGCGTAGTGTGAAGAGTTCCAAACTGGGATAAAACAGCTGTCCAGCACTCCCAGGTTTTCCAATGGTTCTCTAATTAATGTCAGCTCATGATGAAATCCTGTAGCCAATCAAATCCCTACAAACCGACAAATGAAGAAGAATTTAATTTACCAAATACCATGTGATGGCTGTGAGAGGTCAATTAAATAAATCAGACTAATAGATCGGGGTCAACTAGATTACTGGAATGTGAAATTTTAGCTGGACCTAGAATAATTGACCATGCTATATTAAATTAAATAACACAGAAAAAACCTAAGCCATTGCACTGCGTTGCATTCACTTGTATGTAATCATACAATAGATTGAGTGGGACAGCGTGAGAGTATTAACAGGTAATATAGTTAGGTGGAGAGGGAGAGTGAGACGGAAGGATTAATCACTGATCCATGCTTTGTTCATCCATTCAACACCTCACTCGTACTACCGTAATGATGCAACTCCACCTATACTAGAGATATTGGAAAGTGGTAACAAAAAAAAGGGAAATCCTTTATAATTATTGATAGACAAAGGACCTCGATTCTCCTCAAGTTTACTGAACCAAATGCATGAAACCAGATTTATGTGTTCAGAAAGAAGCAGTTAGCGTGAGTCTTTCCTTGCCTTGCCCTGTCTGATAACTGGATGTCTTTATTCTCTCGCTTTCATTTGATTACGTAATCTTTGTATTTTACCTCACTCCCTTTGATATCGTACAATTTTGCTTGTCGCGTATTTCTATGATGTGAGTTGAACTGAGTACATTGTTACCCATTGTATACATTACTCATTATCTAACGCATCTCTCGTCTTTGTTACGTAACTCCTTTGCCATTGTATGCATACAATGATTTTAATTAGAATTCAATTGGTGGATGGTGACTAGCAGTGAAATCCAGGAGAAAGCGCATTTCGTCCCATTCGGAAATCGTCATCTGGATGTACCTGCATTTCTCAGTGAGTCAGTATTGATGTTCCCACTGAGGCTCGAACCCGGTGCCCATAATTTCAAACGCCAAAGCGTTGTCCACTAAACCATTTGGGCGACGAGAGTCACTGCCTCTTGTGCAACGGTCATGTTAATTATTTAATTGAATTCTAGATTTTCCCGTCAACTGATTGGACCGAAGTGCTCAGTGTTCAGGTTAACATGTCTGTTGGCTTCTTGTGAACATGCTTCAACGATGTCTAGGCATTTAATTAGTATTTAATTGGTGAATGGTGATTAACAGTGGAATCAAGGATAAAGCGCATTTCGTCCTATTTGGGACTCTTCAGATGGATGTACCTTCATTTCCCAGTGAGCTGACATGTCAACCTGAGACCGGAGAATTCGGTACAATCAAGCGACAGGAAAAGCAATAAAAAATTTAATTTTAAAAAATACAATGATTTTGTTTAAACTTGATCTGCCTGTGTAAAAACTATATAAGCGTAATTTTCTGAGCACTGTTCACTAATTGTGGAACTTTCTGTCAGTTGACAACATGTAAAATTTGCAAGTATGTTAAAACTTTTCTGTACGTAAACTGCATAATTTATTTAGGCTGTAAGCGAGCAGCTGAGTTGATGAGAAGCCAACGAAATAAGCAATGATGGTTGCATCTTCTTATTCTGCACAAACCACCACTGTTTTTCCTGTCTTTATTCAAATTACAGCTTCTTTTTGGTTGATTCGTTGTCAGAGTTCTCTATTGCTAATCTTCTTTGGCCGGTCATCATACATATATCTTCAGTATGGAGCGAAGACATCTGTTGATAAAAGTCTAAAGCCTGTTGGAAATTCTTTTTTGCTGACACACTTGTAACAACAGAAGACAAGGGCCAGGCAACAGATCGTTTTATTACGGAAATCAACACGTATTTATATAAATTTCACATACATTATTATAGCCTAGTCAAGTAGACAAACGCAGTCTTCTGAATGGTTGTTTTCGAGTTCCTCGTAAAGTGGAGCCATCTATCTGCGAATCATATTTGCACACGTTTAAGTTTGCTGTGATTGGTTGTTGAAACAGCCTTGTTCATATTTTCTCACGGCCCATATTAGTGACCTAGACATTGACGTAGATTAATGTCAACCAGTTGGCTAGCAGGCTGCTTTCACCACACACTAAGTCTCTTACTAATATAGAAGATTCCAATATAGCGAAAATATTCATTCAAACATCTATGGAACACAAAATAATTGAGCAAAGAGTATCCTTTTCGATAATTTCCTCTTCTGGCTCTATAATTAAGTCTACATGCTTATATACAAAGAATATTCTAGAATAGTAGTTAATAACAATATTGGTGTTTTATAAATGATATCGATTTGTTAAGTAAGTAATCGAGGATTTTAAAGCGAAAACCGACAAACTGGTCGAAGAAGCAGGCCGCGAAGACAGGACACCAGGTGAACATAGACAAGATGGAGGTTATGAAAATAACCAACCAACAACAACAACAGCAACATCCAGCGTCAATCACCATCAACGGGAGGGATTTGAAACAGGTTACTTCATTCACTCAGTTATCTAGGGAGCATTGTCTCTCAACTACAGTAATAAAGGACGAGGATATCAAATCGAGTGAGAATCTGGAAGGCGAGAAACACATTCATCAACCTGAAACCAATCTGAAAATCTTCGTCACTCAACTCACCATCAACAACAAAATCCATTCGGATTTTCAATACAAACAACGTCAAGTCAGTCAGTTCTTCTATACGGACCAGAAACTTGGCGGGCTGGCGGGTCACAAAGAATATTTCCAACAGCCTGTTGCACACCTTTATCAACCAACAACTGTCTTCGCGCTCTATACTGAAGATCAATCAGATGGCCGGGCGGGAAAGAATCACCAACAAGAAACTATGGGAACAAACAAAACAAGAATCAATCGCCCAAATATACAAATATGCAGGAGAAAGTGGAGATGGATTGGACACTCGCTGAGGAGGCCGCCGCTGGGTGACATCGCGCGCACGTCAGGCCGGTGCTCGAGTGGAACCCGACAGAATGGGAAGCGGCAAGAGGGACGTCAGTGCAAGGGTGACATGGAGGAGATCGTGTGAAGAGGAGTTGGTTGAAACTGTATGGACTAACATGGATTGTGCAGGTGAAGAGTACAGCAGAAGACAGAAGTGGCAAGTGGAGATGTGCAGTTGAAGCCCTATATTCCAATAAGAACCCAAGGGAAAATTCGACAAAATCTGAGGATCATTCAAACCTAGATGGCCACCGGGGTAAGGTTAATGTCTGAACTAACCTCTTTTGGACACATAAATTAGGCTTCTTAATATGGACCCCAATGGCCAGCCTCAGAAATATTTAGTAGTTGAACTCTTAAGGCAAAGTTAAGATTTGTTGGTTCGGTGAATAACTCTGAAAGCATGGTTAACGTCAATCTTGTGTTCTGTATCCACAAGATGAGATAGAATAGAGCTCTGCGAATAGGTTTTTTTGTCCTCTACTTAACCAACCACTATGCAGGATGATGTTCAGAATTAATTTAACAGTGGTATTGATGCTGAGTGCTTGCCACTCTAATCCCAGCTTTAATATCCTCATCCATGTATCATCTGCCTGTAGTTGAAACAATACTGTCCAAATAAGAAGTCAAAAAGAAGTAACCTCTTTCAAAATTCTTCGGCTGATGACAATTGGTTCCTGCTTGTTGTTGTTGTTTTTGTTGTCAGTTGGTTGTCTTCATCACGTCTGTCCTCTCTATACCCATATGAAGTCCTGTCTTCATTGCTTCTTCCTACTGAGATACTGTCACAATAGACTCATCAGTTCAACTCACTTGACTGTTAATCAAATCGTCAAGGCACCTGTCTACCAGTCAGTAAATAATCCAACACTACTTTTATCAATAACTATTTAATATTAAACACCTTATTGGGAAAGGAAGTATCTCAGTCATTGTTTCCTTTAGTTCCTAGAGGAACATAGGGCTTCAGCAACGCATGTCTCCATCGCGTTCGGTTCTCTGTCAACGTTTTCATCACCTGGTTCCACGTCTGCCCATATGCTTTCTTCTCTTCACCCTACCCTCGCACTGACTACCAACTAACTCGTCGCTTCCCATTTGGGTTCTACTCGAGCAATGACTTGACGTGTGATGTCACTCACTTGATGGTTCTCTCATAGTATGGTTAATCCAATTCACTTACATTTCTTCCTGCATATTTGTTGCACAGTTGGTTCTTGCTGGGTTGGTTTGTTGATTGCCAGGGATTCCTCTCTGTTGCCGATCTTCTTTTCTGGTCAGCCATCTGATTTCGAGCGAAGCATTAAGTGATGACAGCTGTTGATGAAAGTCTGTAGTTTGTTCAAAGTGCACTTCGTGACACGGTGCGGTGTGGCGCCAAATCTCCGATCCGTATAGTAAGTAGTGCTGACTTCACATTGGAGTTGAAAATCTGGATCTTATTTTTCATGCTAAGTGTTGTCCTCGACGCAGCCTTGAGAGTGATGAAACCTTCCCTTGCTTTGATATCCTTGTCATTTCCGTCCACCTGTTCGTGAAACGATGCCTCCCAGGTAGGTAAGTAAAGGAGGTTGCTTCTTTCAGATCCCTCCCATTTATGCTGATTGTTGTCTGTTGTTGTTGTGGCTGTTGCTGTTGGTGTTGGTGTTACCCAGGAATCTTCATCACCTCTGTTTTCTCTATGTTCACCTGAAGTCCTTCCTATCTTTGATGACGCTTCTTCTGCCAACTTGTTTCTTTTTGCTTGCACATCTTCTAGTTTGTGGGAAATCAGATATATATATCGCAACGGCAAACTCCAGATCCTCGAAGTTTTTTTTCATGTGGGTCTATTTTATGCCTGTCTTCTCGTTTGCTCCACCCGCTCTCTGTCACCTCATGACTTAATTTAAATTTACTTTTTTTTTTACCATACTTTGCTTTTCATTTTAGGGTGCTTTTACAGGCTTAATGTATGGATTAATTACTGGTTTTATTCGAATGATATTAGCAATTGTCTACAATGATCCAATCTGTGGTGAAATCGATTCACGTCCATGGATTATTAAAGAAATTCATTACATGTATTTTGCTGTATTCTCATTTATGTCTACAGCTCTGTTAGTTGTTATTGTTTCACTGTGTAGTAAACCACCAACGCCTAGTCAATTGTATCATTTAACCTATTGGACAGCATGGGATTCGAACAGTGAAGATAAGGATAATAATGATGATAATAATGTGGATGAGAATGATGACAGTAATAATAGTAGTAATAATCATAAAAATGCACTTGATTCCTTTGATATAAAGCCAAGTCAAATACAATCGATTAATGGTGATGTCGGGAGTTATGATGCACTGACACTACAGTCAAATGGATATGAATCAGTCTTGCTGTCGAAATCCAGTAAGTATAAATAAATCTCTTGTTATTATTATTATATTATTATTATCATTATTAGTGAATTGAATTTTTGATTTTCCCGTCGATTGATTGGACCGAAGTGCTCGGTCTCAGGTTGATATGTCGGTTTCTTGTGCAGATGCTTCGACGATGTCTGGGTATTTAATTGGTATACAATTGGTGGATGGTGGCTAGCAGTGGAATCCAGATGCGCATTTCGTCCTATTTGGGACTCGTCAGCTGGATGTACCTGCATTTCTCAGTGAGTGATGATGTTTCCACCGAGGCTCGAACCCAGTACCCATAGTTTCAAACGCCAAAGCGTTTTCCACTAGACCACTTGGGCCACGAGAGCCACCTCTTGTGCAACGGGTCATATTAATTATAGAATTGAATTTTTGATTTTCCCGTCGATTGATTGGACTGGATTCCACTGCTAGCCACCATCCACCAATTGTATATCATTATTAGTGTTATCATTATTATTATTATCACTATCACAACTATCATTATTTATTTCATTTTTTTACATTCCCTTACATATTTCCTGACTAATTTATCCGGGTAATTATTAAGTTTCAAGGCTTCTATTTTGGTGTATCACTTCTTTGTCTTAGATTTTCCTTGGTACTACTTAGTTTTTGTGCTTTGTCATTTAAACATTTCACCAATCCTATTTTTACTGATGATCAGAAGTCCAAATATCTGTTTGAATGTGTGGGTTTCTTGTAAACACACTAGTGTGTTTAACTTCACATCTTTCCTTTTTTAAGCTATAATCCAAAATATGTGGCTCCTCTTCCTGACTTTCCAGTTCATAAGTAAATTAAATTGCCTCCACTTTTGAGTTAACTTAATAATTTCCCTGATAAATTAGCCAAGAAATATGTAGGGAAATATAATAATAAAATAAATAATAATAGTAATGATAGTGATAATAATAATAATATTATTAATGACGACACCAACATAAAGGAATCTAAATCATTGGTAGTACTTCCATACAAAGAATGAACCTTGGGAACCTTACGCAGAATTCTTAACAAGGCAGGAACAAAAGAGGCTGGCATTCAACTCAACAACAAACGCAATTAGAAACAACCTCTGTCGGTTGAAGGATCAATCCTGTCGAGCCTTTAAAATAAAACAATTTAGTTTATCTAATACCCTGTCTGCAATGATTGTTAGGTCAAATACATAGGTTAGACTAGTAGAACAAGGACAGTCAATCAGACTAGCTGAGTATAAAATCCCAGCGGTAAAATCTAGATTAGTTGACCTGAATAAAATAAGAATTCTAGAGAATAGTTCAGCTATTACACTCACTACACACAATTACACACAACCATACAATAGGATGGGATAGGATGACAGTGTTAAAATCTAATGCAACTGACAGGGTGGAGGGAGAGATTGATAACAGAAGCTTTGTTTATCGAATCAACCAAAGAGAATATGTGTAATAGGAATGATTCAACACCTGTCTACCCAGACATCTGGAAAAGTCTACCACTCCAAAGGAGACGAATAGGAGAGGACAAAGAAAACTATAAAACTCAAGTTTCGAAGTCGTGTGATTGATTATAATTGGTGAACTGATTATGAACGATAAATAAATTGTGTTCGAAACTGTGTCATTCAGTAAATAATACTAATTCATCACTGTGTGATATATCTAATAAAGAAACTGATATGGAACACATCTCTACTTTATTCTATTTTCTGCTATCCTCTTCAGCTGCGTCCACGACTACCCAAACTCTCTCATCTCTTCCTCACACGATCTCCTCCATGTCACTCTCATATTGACGACTCACTAGTCGGTGGTCCCCATTTGGATCCCACTCGAGCAATGGCCTGTATTGAGTGCGATGTCATTCGGCGGCTTCCCAGTGGCGTATTCCCGACCAATCCATCTCCACTTTCTCCAACATATTTGTTGATCGATCGGCTCTCACTTGTTGGTTTGTTCTCATGGACAGTTTCTTGTTGCTTATTCTTTCTGGCTGGCCATTTGATCTTCAGTATGAAGCCAGGGAAGGTGGCTGTTGATGAAAGGCTGTACTGGCCTGTTGCAAGTCATTTTTGTGACACTCAGTGCAGGTTTCTGACCCGTTTAGAAGAAGTGACTGACTTGACATTGGTGTTGAACAGAATTCGAATCTTGTTGTGTATGCTGAAGTGGAGTGCAGACGATTTCCACACTGGTTTCATGTTGATGGAGGCGAATCTTTCCTCTCCGATTCTGGCTGGCTGACTGGCTGTCTTTGACATGTTCATCTGTGCTGTCCGCCTGCCTATTGTTCAAACGATCCTGGTGATGGTGATTAGTGCTGGTAGTTGTTGTTGTTGTTGTTGTTAATGTTACCTCCGTCTTCTATGTCCACCTGCCTGCCTCTTCAACCAGTCTGTCGGTTTTCGCCCTAAATTCTTCGAGTTTGTGTGACATTAGACATATATCATTAACACACGAAATCTACATCATTTAGAGTCTTCTTATCGGTGGTCCAGAGTATTCCTGATTCCTCACCCTCAACACTTTGAGGGATAATCCAGTCCCCCCACAATTAAGAAAATCATCGATGATAATAGACAGTGCTTTCTTACTCCTCAATGCACTTCGAACGCCTTGCCAACTTACTCGTTGTGGATCACCTGACACGTGGCATTGTCATATAGCCAGCTGCTGTTCAATGAGGTTGATAAAGACTTGAGGTACGCTATAGTATTGGAGTAGTTTTCCAAATTACTTCTCGGTCAACGCTGTTTGTCGAAGGTCTTTTTTGGAGTCGATGAAGTTGAAAATTATTCGTTATATAAGTGTTGAGTACTATAAAAATTGGATTATTTTTTATTGAAGGCTGAGTAGCCAAGTAAATCGTGTCGCATGCGTCTAGTCTTTTGTTTGGTTCAGACTAAACTCAAATGTGTGCAACACGATCCCCACCACATTGTTCTCTGAATTGTTGTTATTAGATGGCTGCGGGGTTCGAACCCAGGACCTTCTGGTTACAAGGCTAGCGAGCTTGTAGACCACTGAGCCACTGGGCCCCAATCCATTGGCCCATAAGTGATAACTTCTGCCGATTCACAACATAGTGGTTCTCTAACTGATGTCAGTCAGCTCATGATGAAATCCTCCATGCAATCAAACAAAATCCCTTCCAACAAAACCAATATTAAACTGATATTTACTCAACTATCTAGTGTTAACTTAAGCTAAGGTCATGTACTTTCATAACTGTATGGTCTATATTTTGGCTGTCTGGTTTTGTTACCTATCCATAATTTGCTCAAGTAGCTGTGGGACACACACACAGACACACTACTGTCTGTCATAAATAACTTTTTTGTTTTCATTCTCTATTTTAGAGTCAAATACTGATAGAAAGAATTCAAGAAGCCTTTTTAAATCTATATTTATGTGGTTATGTGGTTTTGAAGATTGGGTCAGCCCGAAGAAATCTTCTGCTGCTGCCACTGATGATATTTTGACAGAATCTGAGAAACTGCAAGCTTTGCGTAAAGCAGAAGAACGCACACAGGCTAGATTGCATAAGATCACATGTCTTCATCAAGATCCACGAGCGAAATTAGTCCTTCGTATTGGTTTAATACTAATCATATTGTTAACTATCACCGGGTATATATTTTACTCGACTTACTTTGATGAAATATCTATTGGTCCATTGATAGTAACAACTACAACAACAACGAATCAAACATCTCCACTGGAACCTCATCTCTCAGAGTTGATTGCTTATCTCCAACGACATAATCTAATAAAAGTTCGTAATCAAACATCAACACTACCTTAATTACTTACTGATTGTAAATGATCCTTTAAATTGTACTCGATTTCTAAATGAAATATTCTCACAGCTTATTTCCAATATGATAATCCTTCTCTTTTTGTATTTCATAGATCAGTTGTTGTTTTTTTACATTTTGTATCATATTACTACTGATTTCTATTAAAGTAGCATTTTTCGTTACTTCCGAAAAAATACCCCTTCAATAAATCTGTACCAAATGTGTTGATGATTTTTGATGTGTACAACAGAATAAATACAATGACTTTTCATCAAGATGAAATAAAATTATTCATTTCAATACACATTCAATCAGTATTTTTGGTTCTGACACCTCTCATGTTAATTCTGAATGAAAAATATTCATTAGTAAATCATATTTTCAAGTCAGATCATGTGGGCATATCAGTTAGTGAACCGGTGAAAACCAGATGTTTTATCCCAGCTTCATCAGTAAGCAGACATATCGTCATCATCGAGGTTGCAACAAGGAGCTTAAGATTTCAAGGTGAGGTTTGTTTGTAAAAAAGGAGTGCCAAGAAAATACATTGCACTGATCGAAAGCACTCACTCTCCTCGAAGTCATGCAGCCAACCAGCTGAGAGCTTACGGAGAGTTGTCAACTGAAGTGGTGACAACTAGTGGTGTAGGACAGGGATGTCCACTATCCCTATCTCTATTCAATTTCATCATAGATGTACTAATGAACGTAAGCCAAAGTGACTTCAGACACCGGCGATTGACTTGTTACCACCAGGGAATAATCTTGTTGACTTAGAATATACAGATGACATAGACCTGCTCCTAGGTGAAGACGCTTACAAAATGCAGAGCCTTCTGAACGCCTTGAGCTGCAATCTGTGAGTGTTCGGAATGCCATTCACTCCCACCAAATATTTAAGATGATGCTAAAGGACTGGACTACATTGATTCATTCCTAGCTTAGAAATAGGCAGGAGTGAAGTGGTAGCTTAGCGAGTTGACCATTTCACTTATTTGGGAAGTTGCATCAGCCAGTGCCAACAGCTTGGTCACTCACGAAATCTCAGGACGGATACAGAAGTCTAGTTTTGTATATGCCAGTTTACGCTGTCTCTAGCTTAGTAGACGTGATATCCGGTTATCGATCAAAGGACGTCTGTACTGCCCAGCAGTTCGCTCCGTCTTCCTTTATGGCTGGGAGTGAGATCTGGTCATTGAAAGTGGAAGACGTGAATAGGTTGGTTAGCTATCTTTGATCATAGGTGTCTGCGTTCTATCTCCCATGTTAGGTGGTGGTATAATAGGATGAGTAATGTTGAGGTTAGGCGACCAGTGAGTGCTAGGTAAGGAGGAGGGGAAATCAATAGACGAGGGTGTGAAGTTACATCGACTGAGATAGTTAGGACATGTGTTACGCAATCGGTGATATGGCTCAAAATCGTCATTCTCAATGATGGCTGGCGCTGTTAGATGCATCCACTCCTTGTGACTTATAATTTTCAATCAAACTACATTGTTCTTCGATATTGCTATTCTTTTTGCCACAGTATCTCTCCATTTTATGCGTTTCTTTTTACTTTCTTCTCTTGCTTTGTGTGCCGAGTGAAGTGTAGCGAGTTGAACTGGTACACACGGATGCAAAGTTGCATGTTGAAACCAGACGAAGAGGTTAGAACTTGCATGAGTGACAGGTTGGAAATACCGGTGTTACCGGCGTTTTTGTTGGCACCCATACATACCACATTGAAAATACCGAATCTCGTCCGATGTACATGAGCAGGAATGCATGACTGATATTCTACAATCAAAGCTTAGTTTACTGATTTCAACGTCACTAGAACGTTGAATATTGAATAAAGTTTCTATAATTAATTTATACAATACGAAGAGATGGTAAGCTTCTAAATCCAAAGTAAACGTATCGTATCTGTCGTTTGTAATGTTAAAAATTCTTGAAGAAAAAAATATGGTCATACTATATTGTATCACTCATATTAAAAATTATAAACTGTTTTACTAAATCTGGATTTTGTTAGTACAGGTCTACAAATAAATTCAGGTTATCACATATACACAGTCATTATTAGGTGGTTGCAGGCAATCGGTCAAAGGAAGCCTTACTGCAACCTAGGTTTCGTGATAGTTGGCACTCGTCAGCAGAAAGGCGTATCTGCAACCTTGAAGGAACTCATGTCTCCTGTGAGATTCGAACCCACATCACCGAGTACCGCCTGCACTTACAGACGTTACCACTGAGCTAACCGGGCTGGTGACTGACCTCCTGTAGGACTGTAGTGGGTAGTTTGATTGGATACTAGTCAGTAGCTAGTGTGATGTTTCTAATCCTCCTTTCTTTGATGCAGACTGAACTCTATCAGTCAGGTTTGCAATATATGGCCACCAGGATAGCTAGGTAGCTCATCATCACAATGCACTGCACTGTGAATTGTTGATATTAGATAGTTGGAGGTAATCGGCCACAGAAAGCCTCCTTTCCAGGACCTAGATTTCGTGCTAGTTGGCACTCAGCAGTCAACAAGACAGGCGTATCTGTAACCTTGCAGGAAGGAAATCACTCATGTCCCTAGTGAGGTTCGAACCTGCGTCACCAAGTAAATACTTCAGTCAGAGACACATTACCACTGAGCCTCGTGATTGTAGTTTATTTTGATGCAATAATTTCTTTTATCAAAGTGTATATATTTACGCATAGAGTATGAGGTTAGCTAAGGAACTAATTAATACATTTTTTCGATGAGTTATGTTCACAGGTATGTTCCGTTTGTTTGTAAATTCTTGTATTCTACCCATCCCTCCTTACTGCTCCCCATTAATTTTTCCTGGACTGCTTAAGAAAGACTTTGCTTCGCTGAGAAGGGCACTAAAAGCCGCTAGTAGGGCAAGTGGGATATTGTTAAACCAACTGGTTAACACTATTGTGGATAGACATATAATGTCATGTAAGAAACTAGCGAATACAATATTGTCAGACCCCAAGCATCCTCTCTATACGCAGCTGTCTCCTTGCATTTCATCTGGTACAACTAGAAGCAGCTATAGGCGGCTATATGCTAGGACTACCAATTACAAAAACTCCACAATACCATATCTGGCACAGCTGTTATGTGATGAGAAATCCGTTAGGTATGACACGATCAACTTACTGCGGCACTCTAACAAATAGTCCCACTAGCTTTTGTTTTCCTTTCTTCGTTACTATTACACTGTTGTTCTCATCTTCTATTGCACACCAACTTTATATTTCATATCCCGTGGTGCATTGTTTAAAGTATACACGCAACGCTGTTCTTTTTATTTCATTTTATTTATCTTTTTTTTGGTTGGTGCTTTTTGATTTTAAAGTCTTATAAAATTTATGAGGTAATTAGATGCAATATACTGTAATGCACGCTGAAAATTCCATACCTGTACCACAAATACCGTTTGGAATAAAGCTTTTATTATTATTATTAAAAATCATAAAGAGGTACATATATATATATATATATATATATTGTAACAACAGAAGACAAGGGCCAGGCAACAGATCGTTTTATTATGAAAATCAACACGTATTTATACATATTTCAGACAACATTATTATAGACAAGCGCAGTCATCTGATTGGTTGTTTAGGTAGACAAACGCAGGCTTCTGATTGGTTGTTTCGGGATTCCTTGACAAACAGAGTTCTCTATCTGCGAATCATATTTTGCCACGTTAACTTTGCTGTGATTGGTTGTTGACTCAGCCTTGTTCACGGCCCATATTAGTGACCTAGACCTTAACGTAGATTAGTGCCAACCCATCGGCTAGCAGCCTGCTCTCACCACACTCGTCCCCCCGTCAAATACGTGCGACTGAAGTCGGCTTGATCTACTTGGTGCAGGCGTCATCGTTGGCTTGTCTCGCTGTATCCATTTCTGGAGCTCGCTGACGTTCACGCGCCTCTCATTGTTCGCCATTGCGACTGTGTCTGCGTAACCCCATCTCGAAGTGACCATATATGGTCCTTCCCACTTTGGAAACTGTTTGCCTGACCCTGTCGAACATTCGTCCATACTTCGGCTCACACTTTCATATGCTGCTTTCACCCGACCTCCCAGCAGCGTCTCAAGTAGCAGCTCCATCGCTGACAGATCTTGAACGCCACTCAACTGCGCAGAAGCCTTGAAGTCCTGCCCGAAGATCCATATGTCTCCATCAAAAACTGCAGGGTATAGGCTTTTCATTTGTCGGTAGGCAGCGACACCAAATGTAACAACAGAAGACAAGGGCCAGGCAACAGATCGTTTTATTATGAAAATCAACACGTATTTATACATATTTCAGACAACATTATTATAGACAAGCGCAGTCATCTGATTGGTTGTTTAGGTAGACAAACGCAGGCTTCTGATTGGTTGTTTCGGGATTCCTTGACAAACAGAGTTCTCTATCTGCGAATCATATTTTGCCACGTTAACTTTGCTGTGATTGGTTGTTGACTCAGCCTTGTTCACGGCCCATATTAGTGACCTAGACCTTAACGTAGATTAGTGCCAACCCATCGGCTAGCAGCCTGCTCTCACCACATATATATATATATATATGTATATTGATGTCAGAAGAGTGTATATATATCTGTGCTATGATTATTTGAATAGTCATCAGTGAAGAAACACCAAGTCGATGCATTTAACTTGTTTAATTTATATTGCTCTAGTTCATTCGCTAATGCTGAGTAGCAGAAAGCGGTGATTTGCGAATACTATTCAGCTTATTTGTTAATCAACACTACACATAAAAGTGTTATCATCTCTCAGCGTTATACAGTAATATTTATCACTCACTGATGACCATGCTTCGAGCACAATTCATCACTGCTCATATTCGCATATCAAGACAAGACACTCACACACACACAACTTTATAAATTCGTTTGCATAATTCCGTCATTATTTTTCATCGCTTGACTTAATGGCTGGTAGTAGTAGTAGTATTTTCCATATTTCCGGTATGAATGACGAGTCATTCCTATCGCA